AGGCATGAAGGTCTAGTCAGAGACATATTAGAGGCAGAAACAGGAGTTAGGAGGGGTAGAGGTAGACCTAGATTAGATTACTCTTCGCAAATAGTTAAGGATGTGGGTTGTTCTAGTTTTAGGGAAATGCGAAGTTTAGCTCAGGATATTTTTATAATTTAATATTGAGGTATTTGCTGATTTTTAATACACAATTATTCGAGAACTTTACAAAAGACCCAACCCCCCTCCCCCCTTGCCCGACATGGTCACAATTCGATGACCCCCTCTCCCCCAGGGTGGACGTCCCTTATAGATGACCCCTATAAGAAGATAAATAGCAGTTTAATGAGAATAAATGATGAGAATAACTCCTATCTCTCAAGAAAAATTAATTATTAACCCAAAATCAATGTCATTATTTTTAGAAACTTATAGTAATTTAATAGTAGCGTATTAAAAACTAAACATTACAAATCGTTACACAAGTACATATTAAAAAAAAGAAAAACAAATACCTTTAGGTAATGTGTGCAAATGTAAATTAAATAATTACCTATTGTAAAAGCGTTAATTGCATTTTCTTTATCTTTTAATCTTCCTCTTTTGTTTCATTCGATTACAAACTGGTTAATATTCCAATTTGATCCTTTAGTGCATTTTACAGCCACTTTGACGCTTAATGTCGTCGTTAAAACACTTTAAAAGTTGGATAGCAGTGTATAGATGTGCTGAGTTTGCTATATCGGAAGTCGCGCAATCAAAGCGCGCATTTAATGAAATTCAGGCAGATTTTGAATACGTAATCAAGTTTTAAGAAAAATGAACCCGATTTAATAATCCTATTATCTCGGACTATCTCATTAAGTATTTAAATCAATTTATCTGTATAATGTATAATAGTAGAAAAATGATGATGTCCGGCACATCCACCAAAAATGTATACTCAGTTTTTAAGCTTTCTGTACGAAATGATACCAATTTTTCCACTAAAACTTAAATTTCACAATATAAATGTTTTAGTCAAAAAAAGGTTCATCTTTAAATATATCAACAAATAAGAATTATTTATTCCATTAAACAAAATGCCAAGGTAACCCTTAACTTTACTAAACATGCAAGTGAAAAAAAAACACTAAAATCTTCAATAGTCTAGGAGAAATATATAATTCAGAATATAGAAGCGCCGTTTCTTGAAATCTAAGGCACAAAATTGCGTTGGGCGATAAACAGCGGGAAATTCCCCGTAATAGACACACCCGTGGGGAAAATACACCGTTCGAAAACAAGCGGCGGGGAATTCCCCGAACTGCTCGATAGGTTGATTGATCGCAAGGTTGGTATTTTTTTTAATTTTAG